GGGGGGGCGACAAAAGCCTATGGCAACGAAGCTAACAGGTGAACTAATGCCAGAGAGCTTGAGCATGATACGGCCAAGGGCTCTCTGTCAGATCTGTTTACGCAGTGCGTGTCTCCAAGCGGAAATGATCCCGGCCTGCAAGGCAGGCAGGGCTAGTGGAGAGCGCCTGCAGGTCCCCTATTCGCTTTACTAATGCCAGTGCCAGAAGCAGAGCAGTCTTCAGTGATAGCGACCGACTGTTGGCAGACTGTACCGGCTCGAAAGCGGGGCCCTTCAGCTCCCTCAGCACAGTGCGTAGATCCCATGAAGGGATGGTAGGGGGACAAGGCGGATTCAGCCTCCTGGCACCTCTTAAGAAGCGGATAACCGCACTGTGTCTGCCCACCGATTGGCCCGCAATTGGGGCATGAGAGGTAGCTATAGCCGCCACATAGACTTTGAGCGTGGATGGGGAGCATCCCTTATCCAGCAGCTCTGGCAGAAATGACAACACCTCTGTCAAATTGGAAGTATGAGGGTCTTTGCCGCGGTTTAGACACCAAGCGGAAAAACCCCCACTTAAAGGCATAGAGGCGTCTTTTAGATGGGGCTCTAGCCTCTGAAATTGTGTTTAAGACTCGCTCTGGGAGGATCGAAGGCTCGGGCCGACGATGATGCCATATTGTCCCGTTCGCTTGAGAGAGGAGATCCCATCTCAGCAGAATGGGCCAAGGGGCCGCTACCAACAGCTGAGTCAGCTCTGATAGCCACAGCTGGTTCATCCAAAGGGGGGCCACCAGGAGAACCTTATGTTTTTGTTCCCTTACTCGCCTGATTACCTGTGGGAGGTTGGGTCAATCGTGGGCCAACAACGTCCCTGGTCTTTGAGTAATAAATTGGGCAGTGAGAGTTGTCTTCTGAGGCGAAGAGGTCTACTTCGGCCTCGCCAAAGAGCTCCTATATCCTCTGAACCATCTGCGGATGGAACGTCCACTCCCCTGAGGGGACATTGCTCCTTGATAACATGTCCGCTCCATGGTTCAATTTGCCCGGTATATGCGCTGCTCTCTGCGAGCGCAGGTTGAGTTGAGCCCATTGCAGAGGCACTCTACCAGAATGAAGAGACGCTTCGAGGAGAGGCCCCCCTGGCGATTTATGTAGGACACTACAGACATGTTGTCCAATAGGATTAGCACGTGGTGCTCTTTTAGGACTGGCGGGAAGAACTGAACCAAAAGTCGGTATGCCCTCGCACAGTGTCCCCCAACCTGAGTTGGAGGCGTCTGTCGTGACAACCGTCCTTCTGCAAACTATCCCCATGGTCACGCCCTGTTGGGATGGAACCCGTGGTTTCAACCAGCGCTGAAGGGGGCGCATACGAAGCAGACCCAACTGTTGTGCTGGCGATGCCGTCGCCATGAGGCCCAGCATCCTCTGAAACATTTTGAGAGGGCGAATGGTACCAATCTCGAAGGAGGTCGCCAGCCTCCGTATGGCCAGAGACCGTTCCGGCGTGACTACAGCTCTCATTTGGGCTGAGTCTAAAATTTTTCCCAGGAATGATATTCGCTGGCTGGGGGACAACTTGCTCTTGGCAGTATTGACCCTGTGTCCCAGGCACTCCAGATGGCTGAGGAAGAGGGTCCTGTGTGATATTAATTCTGCCTCCGTCTGGGCCAGAACGAGCCAGTCGTTGAGATAGTTGAGAATGCGGATTCCCATATGTCTCAGAGGGAAGAGAGCCGCGTCCATGCACTTCGTAAAAGTGCGGGGGGCCAGAGACAGCCCAAAGGGAAGGACCGTATATTGATAAGCCACTCCCTCGAACACGAATCTCAAGAATCGCCTGTGACGGGGGGTTATCTGGATGTGAAAGTATGCATCCTTCAGGTCCAGAGAAAAGAACCAGTCTCCTGAGCGAATTTGCGCAAGGATCTGTTTCAGTGTAGTCATCCTGAACGACCTTTTCATGAGGGCGTGATTCAGGTGTCTGAGATCAAGGATGGGCCGGAGGCCACCATCTTTTTTTGGGGATGAGGAAGTAACGGCTGTAGAAGCCTGACTCGCTCTGGGCTGGAGGTACCTTTTATACAGCTCCTTTTGCCAGCAGATTCATCACCTCTGAGCGCTGGACGTGAGCATCCTTGCTTTGCACTAAGGTGGGGACCACGCCGCTGAAGCGCGGGGGTCTTCAAGCGAATTGGAATGAATATCCTAATTTTATTATCCCTGACACTCCAGCGATGGCCTGCCAGGCCTCGGCCCACGTGGCGGCCCATTACTCACGGGGGCAGAACCCTTGTGAGTAATGGAAGAGGAAGTTTGCTCTCTTTTTGAAAATGTTTGCGTTTTATTTTTCCCGCTATAACAGCGGCTGATTGCTTGGGCACATAAACGAACCCGTTGTTTGCACAAAACACATTTCCCTCTGAACCCGGAGTTGAACGGGGTGTCAGGAGGCCTAAGAGAGGCTGCTTGGGGGGCGGTCCGGCTGTAGCGAGATCTGGCCCCGTCCTCTTCCTGTCTTGCAGATCAGGATGACGCCTGAGGCACCGGGTCAAACGTAATCTTGGGTCGGGGTCCCTGGTGCTTAGGAAGAGGGTAGTGTTTGGCCGAGCGAGAGCGTCCCTGTGTCTGCTGCGCCTTAGCGGGCTGAACGGCGGGGGCGGCAGGTGCTGGCTTCGCAGGCTGCTGAGTCGGCGGAGGCTTGGGGCGACCAGAGGCAGCAGCGCAGCTGGAGCACTTAGGCAGGAAATGTTGCATAGCTTGGGACAATTTCTGTGCCTCCGTGAAGCGCTTGGCAAATCCTTCGACCGCCGGTCCGAAGAGAGCCTTGGCAGAGACTGGAGCATCGAGGAAGGGGATTTTATCCACATCCTTGATCTCTGTTAACGTCAGCCATAAATGGCGCTCGAGCCACCACAAGGCTGGTCATCGATCTCCTGATCGCCTGAGCAGTGGTCTTGGTGGCGCGCAGAGCCAGGTCGGTTGCGCTCCTCAGGTTTGCGGGGTCCAGGCCAGACTCGTCAGAGGGAGCGAGGATTTTGGCTTGAAAGACCCGGAGGACCACCATTGAATGAAGCGCCGAAGCCGCCTGTCCAGCTGAAGTGTAGGCGCATCCAGCAAGATATCGGCCTTTGCTTTCCAACCGATAGCCGTGGGCGGGCAGAGGTGCGCGGCCACCGACTCATTCAGGGGAGGCAGCTTATCGTATCCCTTCTCTTCAGCGCCGTTGATGGAAGTGAGGGCGGATGAAGTAGAAGCATGAAAGCAGGCGTACTAGGGAGCACGCCACGATCTGGTGAGCTCGTCATGGACCTCCGGGAAGAATGGAGAGGAGTGCTAATGAGGGGCTTGGCAGCGCCCCGGCAGGAACCACTCATCCAGATGGCTGCGGGAGGGCTCCTCTTGCGGAGACCACTCTAAGCCCAGATCTTCGACCGCATTCGAGAGGTGGCGCTGGGCGTGGACAATGGCGAGGGGGTGGGGTCAGTCACCGAGCCCAACAGCTCCTCTGCGTCCGATGCTGTTAATGACATGCTGTCATCAAGCAGCTCGTCCTCACTTCCCCCAAATGAGATCAGGTCACTCGCGCCAGCAGAGGGACGCTGATCAGACTGGGAGAAAAAGACGGGAGAACACTCTCTCTGGGGCGAGGGCGAGGCACGCAGGATCTGGGCCGACGTGAGCTCGCTCGCAGCCGGTCGCTCGAGTCCTCTGCCCTGCCGTTTTTTCCTCACAGGTCCCTGGGAGGAAGAAAACGGGAGTGCGCAAGGGGCAGAGCCTCTCTCTGAAAAGAAAGCAATCCGCGAGCGAAGAGAGGCGAGACTGAAGTTCTCGCAGTGAGAACAATCAGTTCCCGTGAGCACAGCTTCCGCATGGGATTTCCCCAAGCAGGAAACGCACTCCGTGTGGCCGTCATCTGCGTGCAGGGGAGACCCGCACGAACCGCAGTAACGGCGCGGCATTTGCAACAAACACTAAGCTCTTTTAGTATCGCCGGATGGCAGCAGGGGGAAAGGACCGGATAATAATCCTATTTCAAATAATAGTCCTATTTCATATTTTTATATTTAAATTTCTAATGGCTATAAATGATCAACATGATCAAAACTTTGCTGTTGGACACAATCTACTACATGTCTTCTGATTGATAGTTTATTCTTTTTAATTAAATAAATGTCCTTTTAATGTAATTGTACAAATGTCTACTTTCAGCTTGTGCTTCACGCGTCTTTTTGCTGTAAAATCTTTACAGATTTTTTTGAAGAAAACATAACTTTGATATTGTTAGTAATAGTTCAAGGTGAACTCTTACTGAACTGAAGCAGTTTAGCTTTCACTTGATCTTTTTTTGTTAGAAAAATCAGTGAGTATTTAATATGATCATCAGGTTTTTTTTTGAGGAACTTGTATTTGTTCATCTCTCAATCATCATTGTATTGCATTGCATTATAGGTTTCTATAATCAAACTAAGCATTTAAATGTCATCATAAGACATTATTAGAGATGCACAGTAGTGACAACTGATATTTATATAATTTTATGCAAGTATGTGCTATACTATTACAAAGATCTTGTTGATTTACATTAGAAGCATCAGAATCTCATACTTTTTGTTTATATAAATATCAGCATCTGCCCCAATTTTTGCTCAGTTTGGGCTTCTGAATAAAATTGAGCTGTTTTTTCCTCCACATTCTCACTATATCAGACTATGAGCCATAAATGCCTGATTCAACAAATATGATGTTCAACAACAACAAAAAAGCACATGATTTTTTTACCCCTAAAGGCTCAATAAAATATTCCATTTAAAAAAATCCTCACTATTACTTCATATGTCTCGTTTCATAGGGTTATTTAGAATCTCCTTTGTGATTTTTCTTTCCTATAGACTTTAAAACAAACACATGCAGCTCAGTGGACTGACACTCAGTTAAGCTTTGCCACGTTTGGCACAAGTCTACATGACGCTGGTCAACACCTGCTCAGCAGAAGAGGTAGAGCTTCAGTTTGATGTGTTTTCCTGTATATGTGTTTTTTCAACAGTTCTGATGGCACATATATGTGATTTTTAGGATGTTAGAATACATTATTTTATGTGCAGAGAGGTTTTTGCTTGTCTAGAACTTGCTGTCATGTTAGATAGATAGATGGTCTTGTGGGTGGTTGTCAGGGTGTTGCTATGAGGTTACTTATGTGTTCTGAATGGTTTTATGTGGCTTCTAGAGTTTTCTTTGTGATCTTCCGGTCTCTGGGTATGGCTTAAAGTAAGTCTGTGGGATTATCACCTGTTTTATCATCCACTGAGTGAAACCCTGAGTTGGATGAATGTCAAGGAATGAGTAATGAGCAAAAGTTTCATTTTTAGGGTTTGGATTTTAGGGTTTTTCAGATGTTGATCTCCATAATAATAACAGTGATGATTGACTTGTTGACCACCACTGAACTTATTTTACCATTTAACGTAACAGACAATAACACACTACATCCTTGAAATTGTTTGTTTAGTGCAGGGTTATTATCATTAACTAAAACTAAAACCATAAAAAAAAAATAGTTTAAAGGTGTTTTGTTTAAATTGAAGTATTAAAATAAAACTAATAAAAACTATATATATATTTCAGAAAATAGAAATGACAAAAAAAGAAAACACAACTACAACTACAATTAAAATGAAAACTGAAAATATACAAATAAAATCTAATACAATCTAATAATCTGCTAGTTGCCCAACCAATAGTTCTCATTTTTATTTAGTTTAATTTGTACTAGATAACTAAAACTAAATATACTAAAGCTAAAAATTAATAAAAAACTGCATAGGCATATTAAAAAAAAATTGTCAAAACACAACAAAATTACTTAAACTTTAAAATTAAAATGAAACCAGAAAATATAATACACAAAAACTATATCAGTATTTCAGCTGTACTAAATAGCAGTGATTTAATGATACCTTTATTGTTTTACCTACATATTTTCTCACTTTCTTTATTTCTCTAACTCTTGCAGCTAATGCACACCCTCCCTCTGTCTTTTCTGCACTCTTGGCCAGTGTTTGATGAAAGCAGTGAATCGGATCTCTTTCTCGCTTTCTGGGTGGTGTGGGTGTGGTCAGTGTGATGTCACTCATTGAGAAGGCGAGAGTGGGTGTGAACCAAGCGGAACACATCCCTTCCTCCTTATCGTCTCGCCAGTGACCCCGCGACCTCCTCATGACCGAATGTCTGAGATCATGAGTGTGTGGGTGTGTGGACAACTTTTGCCATACTAATGCTAGTCAAAAATGTTCTCGCTAATAGTTGACTTTTAAACCAACTACTGGTATGTTATGTAAATCATCTGTAAATGTACTTCTGACAGCAGGTTCGTGTGAGGGTTGGTTTAGTGTATGACAAATCCCTGAAAGCATATGCATATGTTACCTGGATTCATGTATTTTCATCTGGAAGATACATTTTTTTACATTGCTAAAACATTTTTTTTAGGTTGTTACAACATTCAGCAGATGTCCAGAATGTATGTGAATCTTTTAAAATATGTCAGATATTTCACACAATGATTAGAATGTGAGCACTAGTGTTATTTTTCTTAAATACTATTATTTATATACTATTATATTTTTTATTAATGTTTTCAATTAGCTTTTTATTTTTGTACTTTAAATGTTTTTATTTTTATTAGATTTTTTTTTAGATTACTATTTAGCTTTAATTAATTTTTAATTAATTAATTTGATTTGTTTTCAGTATTTTACAAATTTATTTCCAGTTAGTAATTTTATTGTTATTTTTAAATTAAATATTTTTTAAATACTATTATTGATATAGTATTATAATTTTTTTTATATATACATATTTTGAGTTTTTTGTATTTTTTAATTTGAGTTTTAATTTAAATTTTAATAAGTTTAAATTTTTTATATTTATTAGCATTCTTCTAATTAAAATTTTTTTTTTAGTTACATTTTTTTTTCCAGTAAAAGATTTTAGTGCTTCAACTTATTTCAGGTAGTTGACAAGGCAACATTTCTAATTTTTGATTAGTTTAAGTTTTTCATTGAATATTCATATTTTATTTTACATCAAATTTATTTTAATTAACACATTTTTTTTAATAGTTTTAGTTATCAGACTCTCTTATCAGGCTATGCACTCTTTTAAGGGTGTAATTTTTGCATTTTTTTTTTCTTAAAAGTATACTTGGTTTTAATAATTAGTAAGCATGAATTATACAATCTCAAAAATAAAGGTCCCCTAATGAGTTTTCATAGTGAGAAAACAGAAGAGCTACTCTGGGTTAATTTCAGTGATCAATTCTTCAAAGAACCATTTGTTTCTTACTGTGAAGAACATTTTAATAATCTGAAGAGCCCTTTTACACTATAAAGAACCTGCAATGGAAATATTCTTAAAGGTTCATCATGCTACCATCAATGCCAATAAAGAACCTTTATAGTAAAGTAAATAAGTAACCAATCACCACTGGTATTTGTTTAGCACAGGCCCTCTGTTTGTCCAACCAATGGAAAACCAATGGAGTGTTTGAAAACCTTTAGTTTTCATTCATATGTTTGTGATTCAGGTTAGTGATGCATAAATGACAATTCATCTTTTAACATCTCAGTGTTGTATATGTGCTTATTTGGAGACACCCGCAAAGGAAGTCGTATGATTTCAGAAGCAAGACGCTTCCAGTGACTCTAACACGATCAATTGCAGAAATGCCCTTTGACCCCTGATGTAACAGCGGATCGCTGAGCTCATTCTGCGAGATTCCCAGTCAATGAGGTTTCCTCCGGCTGACGTTACGATCGGTGAGAATTGCGGCCGGGTTGTGGCTCTTTTCGACATTAATATTCCGTTGATCGCGATAAGACGGTAGTTTTTGATTTATTCCGGATGATTCAGCTGCGGCCCATCGCTTGTTTACATCCCAAAAATTCAGCTCGCAAATTAAATCACAGGCGGGGTCAATGGAGGCGCCGCAAACAGAGGAAAACACGCCAGAGGGGGAAAAAAAGACAGGAATGGAGGAGATATGAAAGGAATTGAGAGTGTTTCTCATCTTGTCATTTTTAATCCCTCGCTCTTTCTCTCCCTTCCTCTCTCTTGTTTCCCTGTCTGGAAGTAGAGAATGAACGACTCCCCCACACTGCCTCAGCTATGAAGAGATATGAGAGAGAGAGAGAGAGAGAGAGGAAGCATCTAACCAGCTGACAGCTGCAACCAAACACACACACACACACACCTACACGCTCTCTTCATCATGCCTGTCAACACACACTTAACATACACATGCACTCTGAGCCATTCATGCCATGTGACTAATGAGTCTGGAGCTGCAGGGAATGACAACACTGATTGGCTGATGACC